TGTTGCGCTTCCCATCCGTTGTTATAAACTTTTCGACAAAGTTCGACCAAAATTCTTCGATTGTGATACATTTGGGGGGTTATCTTCTCTTCTAACATACCTATTAACGTTATTCCGTTGCAACTATTCTTCAGCTTTGCTCTTCTGGCGTAATGGCATGAAGCGAAGTCAGACCAAAATATTATGTCGTCGTTCTAATGATGGGTGTTAATAATGTAAAGCAGTTTTGGTATCTTTGGGTTTAAAGTCCACAGCTTCTCCTCGAACTAGACTTACATAGGGTGCTGAAACCCCAGTCCCAGAAATCGCGAACGAGACTAAAGTTTTGTCAGCAAATTTCGCCGTAGCTTTAAATTTTACTTCATTTGTACAATTTCCTATATCGGAAGTGTAAAATCCATCGTTGCCTTTCATTTATGAATGAGACAGCGTAAAATACTTTTCGTCATCCATTATCATCACGGTTTCTCACAAAATGTCTACGTATCGGGCCCTGTAACATCCAGGCCTTTTCACGAGTTGTGCCTGAGTTTACTTGGGACATTTCCTTCTTTTTCAAAAATACACGTTATTGCACGATTTTGTACTAGACCCTAAACTGCGATCTAGCTTTCGGCTAGAGATTCCAATTGTCCTGAGCGATTTATACGAGCGTTCTACAAGCCACTGGCAAAATGCAACTCTTCTAGGATGATCTTCAGGTTGTAACGCTAGTACCCGATGATAATGATAATACTGTTCTTGTCGTATTGTCTTCTCACTTTACTATGAGAAACTTCAACTTGGGCTGCTATGGCTCTACATAGTGCTCGTGATTTCTAAAATGACTTCCTCAATTTGTAACATTTCAGGTTGAGCAGGTCTTCCAGCGTGATCTCCTCGTAGTTCTTTTAAATATCATGTGCCATGAAATCTAATAAATAAATTCACACACATCCGTAGGGCCGGACGATTTCTTAAAGGACACCTTTCCGTATACAACCTGCATGCTGCGCCTGCATTTGTTGGCACTCTCCATTATGTCGGTATTATTTCCACTAGTTCATTGCCTTCGTAAACATGGGTCATTTTTTCGCACAAAATAATCAAATGAAAGTATATGTACTAATAAAAGACTGATACAACTAATCGAACCACAGACTCGTTTATTTCTGATCTTTTACTTTCTTTTATTATGCAACTTTTATATAGGTGACTTTTGTATATCAACCCCTTTTGACGAGTCCTACAAGCAGTTAGAATAAATGACTCAACTTTGAAAACACCCTTTACCAGTCTATTCACTGTTTTAAAAATTAAAACATGGGATCTCTCAGTTTTCGGCAAAATAATGCAAGGTATACTCGTATTTTCTTCGCAGTCACTTATCTTCTTCTTCTATATATGTGTGCATGCTTGTCCAGTCTGTCACCATCACGTATGTAGGTACCACAATATGGAGAGACTTGAAAATTCGTACTCTTACTAATTGGTACCCAAGAAGAGCTATAGGCATGGTTTCATCCGCGAACTCGATTTTGCAATCAACTGGAGCGACAGGTACCCCAATCTCCACTGTCAGCTGTCAGCATTAACCCGGCAACCGCGCGGCCTGTCATCGCTCCACTTAACCCGAGACAGTTAAGGGATGTACGAGCCCCTTCCCACTTCAGTTGGCCCAACTATTGAAATCTTAGTTTTTTTCTTATCAAACACAAATAATAAAAATGTAGCAGGGTGTTATAGGTTTAAAATATTAACAATGAATATTTTGATAATATATAGTAGAAAACACCAACTTTATCACTCTCTAATGAAATTTGCAGCACAAAAATAACACATGTTGCAATTACAGCATATCAACCTATTTTTATTTCAACGCAAAATAAGTCTATAACGCATAGGTGGCTGTGAAAAATAAAAACCATGACAATTGTTTTTATTAATCACAGCTGTCAGAATACGTTTAAACTAGTTTTGGGTAGTTAAAGTTTTCAAAATGGGTAGAGTGAGAAAATTCGGTTACTGATAATTAAATTTCTTAATTCTGGGAAATCAAACTCAGAAATTGCAACTTTGTTAGACTTATCGCGGTACAGTGTGAGAAATATTGTTAGAAGATATAACGTAACTGGTTCAGTTAATATTAAGCCACGATATGTGAAAAAAAGTAATATCACAAATGCCGACCGAAGAGCATTAAGAAGAATAATCGTGAAAAACAGGCGTGCCAATTATTTACAATTAAGTGCTCTGTGGAGTGACGCTGTTGGAAGGAGAATTTCGAGGTCCACAACTCATAGAGAGGCCCACAAACTGGGATTTAGCACTTCCAAGGTAAGTTTTCTTATAAAAAAAGTGAACTAAAAACCCTAAAGTTGCACAACTTGTTTATAGGCCAAAGAAAAGCCACTATTTACTCCACTGCAAAAGAAAAATCGGCTTAGCTGGGCTAAAGAACATAGACAATGAACACCTCAAGAATGGTGTGCAATACAATGTAGTGATGAGGCCCGATTCGAAGTTTGTGTTGGTGACAGTCGCAGTAGAGTTATTCGCAAAAAAATGAAGCAATCCATGTTGACTGTCTGAAGAGAAAAGTGAAATTTCCAGCATCCATTATAGTCTGGGACAGTATGTCATAAAAAGGAGTAGGAAAACTTCATTTTATTGATGGAAATGTGGATACAAACAAATATTTGGCAATTTTAGAAGAATCGCTTTTACCAGTGATGGAAGAATGTTTGACATCCGGCCCATTTTGTGTTTCAGCAAGATGGTGCAGCGTGCCATACCTCAAAAAAGGCTATAAAATGGATGGAAGAAAATAATGTACCACTTTTGAAACTGGTTTCTAGCAGTCCAGATCTGTCACCTATTGAAACTTTGTGGCACGAGATGAAAAAGGTTCTAGGACAACATCCTGCTCGTACAATCACCGAACTGAGACAAAAACTTCAAGAAATATGGGATTGTTTTACACCAAATTTTTGACAAAACTTGGTTAACACTATGCCCAAAGAATTTCAGCGGCAATAAAAAATAAAGGTGATGTTACCCAATGGTAATCTTTCAATTGTTGCTTTGTTAACTTCGCGCATGTATTCGCACATTGTTTATTTGTTCAGATGTTCTATTAGTTATAGGTCTAAGTGATTTTAAATATGTTTTTTTACGACTAGAGTGTATCTAAAATGTTTCCGAGAAAATAAATTGTTTTAGAAGTAAATGGTTTCGTCATGTTTAGTTTATAAAGGCATATTTTGGTACAAATCTTGAAGTGGGCCAGCTCAAGTGGGAAGGGGCTCGTAGACATTTTATTTTGCAGTAGCTGTTACCCGCAACTTCTTGAACTTGAAACTGTTACTAACATTACATATTTTTAAGTAACGCTATTTTTATTAGTAGCGTCATCTACACATTTTGCGGGTACAGAAATCTATAGCCCTATAAATCGTCGCTGGCTAGTTCACATTTTCAGTTTGGGCAACCGTCCACCTATGCTGCAGATCTTCTTGCGAGTTTTAAAACTCCTTGTGGCATTTTGCTGAAACAATTTGTCGTTCATTAATGACAAAGATCCACGCTTTGTTTATCCGCTTTATGGTAACTAGATCAGATATCAACCGTGCAGAAATTTCAGGGCAAACTTTTTCTCAAAACTTTTGTCCCATACGTTAGTCCAAGAAATCATTCACGCACACTACTAAAGCAGATTATTTCCTGAGGGTAGAATTAAACACCAGAGCGATCTAAATTAAGAGAAATGGGAGCAAGTCAGTGCATCAACCCTGCCTAAGGAAGGCCAAATAGTGTCATCATGCTTTGATGGCGACCCTGCCTGCTCACCATCACGTGGTGCGCGGGTATTAGAAAATAGGCACATCGACACACAGCAACAGGACGTTGACCCCAACAGTCATTACGAATTGGGGTTATTAGACAAACTTATACGGATTGTTATTATCTTGGTTTTATACCGGGTAGTTTTGGAGTTTCGGTGTTTTACTCACTCAAAAGCTGGCAACCAAAAAAATAGTCGGGTTAATATATCTGAAACTTGCTATGCACAAAGTGTGAGTGAATTTACTGCAAATTTGAGATAACGTGATTCAGAAATGGAACAATATAATCCGATACGACACTGCAACTCAAAAGACATCCAAGTATTTCAAGTATAAGATTTGTAAAAATAAAAAAAAGTATGTTAGCGACACCTTCGCCTATGATGAGGTAATAAATATTAACGATTATAGTCAGGATATTTTACACGGAAGGCATCCACTTTGATTATATTGTGTAAGAGTGGCTAAAGATATGCAAGAGTGAGAGGCACTGGAATAACTGTGGTACATTATCTGCAGCGCCCAAGTCCTCGTCTTTTTATTATATTTCTAATAACTATAACATGTAAGTTATACAGTTTTTGCGTCAACGACGTCTTGAATGCTTATAAACTTGTAGAAACGATTCCTAGGATTATTAAAAACTTCAGACCATATTGAAAATGTTTTTAGATATGCCCAAATGTGCTCGAAATTGACGAAAACAACAAACAATTACCTAGGCTCAGGGATGATGTCTGCGATAACATCGTACATACTTTGAATTAGTGTTTGAAATATGTTCTTCGCAGTAAGTATATCATTTTTCACCAAACTTAATCTGAAGCTATTCAAAGCTTTTTTCTAACCCTTAAAATGCCATTCCAAAAATGTTTGAAATTGTAGTTTACTTCAAGTTTTGTAAATATGACCATGAAAGAATCTCTTCAATTTTTCAGTATGGTGTAAAATTCAGGAAACGTAATAAAATATTTTCTAACTTATTCAAAACTACGTATTATTATTTAATTTCGAAATCCCAATTTCCAAGCTGATATGTAGTACTGCAGAAAACACTTGATGCCATTTTTTTCATTCCTCCGAACAATTTAATCAGTAATCGAAATCTCAATCTCGACATTATTTTTTGAAGATAAGGTACAGGACACGACTTTGTATTTCACACTTTTCTTAGAAGATTTTTACTCACTAAATCGCTATATATTCAGCACAGTCGCGCCCGATTAGTTGTTTTTATATATTCTCGTTGTGTTTATATTAACATTTTTATGTTAACTTTTAAATAATGAGGTACTTCATATTTTCTTTGGTAATGTTCGTTGCAGTAACATCCGTAACTTTTGCCGATGAAAAAAGTAAGTAAATTGTTTTTTAGTACATATTTTTAGATAGTTGTTCTCATTCACGATCTGTCCATAATGATTTTGATTCATATACAACCAAAACTAATAACGAATATAAATCTGGAATCTTCGGTATCATGTAGAGTAAATCGTGTTTTACATAATGGGAGTAAGATGGAGGTCTTTTAAGTTTTGCATATGGAAATAAAACAACACGGTAGGTAGTTTTAAATGACTTTATTGTTTTTCGAAGTATTCCCCACGAAGATTAATACACATCTGCAGGCGCTCGAACCAATTTTCGAAGCACTTATTCCATTCGTTTGCTGGCAGATCCAAAATGGCATTTTTGAATGCGTCAACTGCTTCTTCTGGTGACTGGAACCTTTGACCACGCAGTCTGTTTTTAATTTTCGGGAAAGTAAAGAAATCGTTAGGACTTAGATCGGGACTATATGGAGAATGGTCCAATAATTCCATGTTTTCTTTCGTTAAATACTGCCTTGTTTTTTGGGCTGTGTGCGAGCTTGCATTGTCTTGGTTGATTTTTCGAAGCTCGGTGATGATTTTTGGCAAACAAATGGTGGTATACCAATCCGCAGTAACAGTTCTTTGCTCATTAAGAGGAATTGTTGCAATATGACCCGCTTTTGACACAAATATCGCGACCTTCTTTTTCGAAACACTTCAAGAACGGATGACTTTTGTTGGATTTTCTTCACCTTGGAACATCCAAACAGCCGACTGTCGTTTATTTTCTGGTTCATAACAGTAAATCCACGATTCATCACCACTAACAATGCTGTACACATTTTTGGAGTTTCAATGATGAGTTTGCGCACAGCATCGACGTTTTCCTGGGTGACTGCCATTTTTGGTGCACCCACCTGGGATCGTCGCTAAGGCTCGTATCGTCAGTCGTCCCTACAATTGTAGGGCGCCTTTATGGCCTCCTTGATTGTCGTAGTTTTATACTTCTCCGTGTCAGACCTCTATTTTGAGGTCATGTCACAAACATCTATTTGCATCAAATTGTGCTTGATTTTGTGTTATATCATGTCTTATCAGCCTGAAATTTCCTACAATTTAAAAAGAAAACATATCTTTACAATAGGAGACCAATGACGCTGACACGGGACGAGTGTAATCTAGAAATTTTTGAAGGAAAGAAAGGAGTATGACAATCAAGGAGGCCATAAACGCGCCCTACAATTGTAGGAAATTGTCATAGTTTTCTACTTCTCCGTGTCAGCGCTCTATTTTGAGGTTATGTCACAAACATCTATTTGCATCAAATTGTGCTTGCTTTTGAGTTATATCATGTTTTATCAGCCTGAAATTTCCTACTATTTAGGAAGAAAACATATCTTCGCAATAGGAGAGCGCTGACGCTGACACGGGACAAGTGTAATCTAGAAATTTTTGAAGGAGAGAAAGGACTATGACAATCAAGGAGGCCATAAACGCGCCCTACAATTGTAGGGACGACTGACGATACGGGCCTAAGACTCACCCGTCCACGTTTGAATTCTTCATACCAACGGGAAATTGTCGACTGATGTGGCTCTTCATTGCCAAAAACAGACAGCAACTCAGCAAGGAATTCTTGTTGTATCTAAAAGTTGTAATAAATTATGGCGCGAAAATGTTCTCGGTTGAGTTCCATTTTTCTAATGACTTGGTGACACTTAAAAATTTACTGTAGTGAGAACACTGCACGTATTGCTGTGGAACTTTGAATTTAAGTTTACTAAAGAGTGAGGTTAAGATTCAGTACTGACGTTAAATCCGCGCGGCCTACTATGTTTCTATATGCAAAACTTAAAAGACATCCCTCGTAGCTGAAAAGAAAACGATGATGTATTAAGACATTTCGATCGACTGTATACGTCTATCTTTAGGGTTGGGACTTTGATCCAATATTTTTAAATAAATTTTTGTATTTTTTCTAGAGAATATGCTTTCTTGATGTTGCTTTCCTTTTCTAGAATACGCACCCATTTCGCTTGCCGATCCTGATGGTGCTGCTTATCCGTTTTGTAGATACGAGGATTGTCTGAAGTTTTGTCAAAAGCACGGCCATAAGAATGGCTACTGCTACCAAGATTACTGCTGGTGTGTCCTTTAAGAACATTGAAATTCATTTTGTTAGTGTATAGTTCCCATTTATTTTTATTTGTTTTGTTCATTTCGCTTCTCAGAGAAGAGGCATATATCTTGTCTAGATTGACTATGCTACAAAGTAATAAATAATAAAAGGAAACAATGCTTGCTGTTAAAACGTAACTCGCGTTTATTTGGAAACTTTTACCTTCAATATCGGTTGAAGTTAACGAAGATAAATAGGCAATTTTCCAATCACAAAAAATATTTCTGGATTTTTAGTTCGTTTTAACAGCTAGATAAAAGCTTGTTTTTAAAAACGTACCCTTTTCTTAATTTTTTACTTTTTAGTATTTATAACAAATAACGAGTTTAATAATACCATAAAACTTCTTACTTTATACATAATTATGAGATTTTGGTAAATATAAACCATATATTAGATACGTAAATACGTGAGACATACTTACATCTATAAGCATCCTTGCTCAATTGATTGAAGAAATGAAGCGTACCTATATTTTAGCGTACGTTAAAGAGCTGAAATTTGATATGGTTATTATATTTGAGTGTTTATTTTAAATAAAAGTCGACTAACCTAATCTTTAGATCCTAGGACCAGAGTATTTGTCAACAAGAATCAAACGCATCCCAACTTGATGGGTTTGCGTCGATTTATTACGGAGTTCCCGTGGCCACCACCCGGCACCATCATTATTTCAGCTCCATGTCATTATAATTTATTGTCATGTTAAACGTCTGCCATATTGGAGTTAGAATGACGTCACTTTGCTCGTTGTATTTTTCACATCAAGCCCTTCCATATGATACCCATATCATAGGGCTAACTATGGAAATTATAAATCGCCATTCAGCGGCCGCCGCCATATTTAATTTAAGTTAATTTGCTTATTTTTTGTCTCTGATCAACCCCTTCCATTTAATGTCCATATCAGAGGGGTTACTATGATAAATCGCCTTTTTGTAGCATCCGCCATATTGGATTCAAAATGGCGGGATTTTGTATTGTCATGAACCAAGCGTGTATATAAAATTTCAGTGCAACTGGTTAAGGCTAACTGGTTCAAAATTCAATTTCAAGATTATTCCCACACATACAGGTATATCTACTAACGTTTTAACATATACATATACCAACAGATTAAGTTAAATATAAACTTGCAAAATAGACTATCTGTATATTGCCTTGAGTTATCGGTCATATTTCTGACTAAAGGGCAAGAAAAGCTTAGGAATACAAGAAAAAAATTATTAATTTTTGTTTCTTTCAATACACAGAAAGTGATAAATCCTATTTTTCATTCGACGTTTTATCAGGGGGCGTTATCTAAAATAGAGAAAAGTGACTACAGCGGCTGAAATACATTTTATATTCTTCCTCCAACAACACCCACCCGCGAGGTCGATAACCTCGCGAGAAAAAGTGATATTTTGTATGGTGGAGCTTGTGTGGGGCGGTTTCGTTGGGCCAGAGAAAATTTTTATTGAGAGAACGGGATTCATCGAGTTTTGTTGACCCGGATAAAGAGCGCTGAGGCATTCACACAGTGATATCTTCTGAATGCTACTGTTATCGACAGAACACAGAGGTGTCATCCCATGGAGACAGAGACAGTAGCGGTACAACTTACTAGATATTGTTCAGCTCGACTGCATGATAGTACGTACTTCAAATTCATATTCATTAGAATTGTCATCTGGTACATTTCTAAACAGTGAACAATAGAAATATGGATACAGTGTAAAAACATTTACATTTTGGTAACGTCATTCGTTCCTATAATTGCAGGTCGCCTTTATGACCTCCTTGATTTTCATAATTTTCTACTGTTCCGTATCAGCGCTCTATTTTGAGGTTATGTTAAAAATATCTGTTTGCATAAAATTTTTCATGCTTTGATGCATATCATCTGTTATATCAGCCTCAAATTTCCTACAATTCAAAAAGAAAACATAGCCTCAGAATAGGAGGACGCTGATACGGAACAGTAGAAATCGAGAAATATCCCAGTCTTTCTAAAGGACAGGAAAGACTATGAAAATCAAGGAGGCCATAAAGGTGCCCTAAAATTATTGTAGAAACGACTGACGATACGGTCCTTAGAGCTTAGGAGGGTCTATGGAGTATCAGTGGGATTCCTCAAGAGAGTTTTCAGAATTGGCTCAACACTCTCACATGTTTGGCGCCGCCTTTACCAAACATACTTCACAATCCTAGCTCATTGACAACTATAAAAAGTGTTTGCTATTACCAAGTGAAAACAAACAACCTATAAACAAGAAGGACAGTGAACCCTTAGGGTATAAAGCAGCCGTAACTATATTACAGGCGCCACAATATATTGCAGCATCTGGGAAGCTTTCATTTCGTTCACACCTACCCGATAGAACTCGAGAGGGCGATGAACCCGCAAGTATTTCTTTTCTAAATGTTTGTGTGGGGCGGTTGGAAAATAGAGAGGCGCTTTGACCCGCCAAGCCGATGATACGGACCGAAAGATAAAAAAGTTATAGAGTCGCCATTGATCGGAATGTAATCACTTGCGCACGTTGTAAGAAAAAGCAGCATCAATTCAGAGCGGCCCAGTTTTCTACTCAAAATAGGTTGTCGCTACGCAGTTTAAAGGAATAAATGAAAAGTTACGATACTTCTTGCATATCTGTGACATTTACAGATTACAGAAAAGAGGTTGGCTACCCATATGGATCTATTGTTTAAATTACTCTGACTATCCTTGATCCTTTAATCAGACTCCATAGCCTTGCCTTGCATGTAGTTTTCCACCGTTAGACTTGTTATTCCTACTATTTGAAACCAGGATGCCAGGCCTTCGAAGTGGCACAAGATATCCACTGGAGTTTCCATATGATCTATGCAAAATCGAAATGTAGCCTGTTCGTGAGCCCCACATATCAATTTAGACGACAGTGACCTGTAAGCAGACCACTACGGCCCTTATAAACTTAGTAAAACTTTTACTTGGTTCAATTCCCTATGGGCTGTTTGATGCGAGGTTTCGTCACCCCACAGAAAGGTTTTGGTACTTAGCCTCACCTTGTCGAGCTAGCTCATCCGTATTCTCATATCCTTTGTGCCCACCGTGCCCCGGTATCCAGAGCAATGTGACCTTATTTTGGTTTACCAGCTCTGTGAAAGCGTTTACGCAATCCCCTACTAACTTAAATCCTTTATAGCTGCCTAACTGGCAAAAGACTGATTTCCACTTTCCTTTCTTCTTTTGCGCACATTGGTATGGCTGTTACTTCAGCTTGATACGTAATCTTTACCAAAACTAATACGTATATCGTTGCTAAGATTGATGGGAGGCCTCAAAAGGCTCATGCTTCCAGTAAAAATAGAGCTTCGCGAGTCTTTTGTGTATTTTGTGGCTCTAATCGAAGTTTCGTTCAATTCCAAGCATCAACTAGGAGGGCATGGAGGACGGAAGCGGAGACGCCTTACAAGTTCAAAGTCAAATTAACGATGTCTACACATAGTATCGATCAAGTGTACCTTAATCTACGAAACATGAAAATAATTTCCTCCAATTATTATTCTTAGAGGTACTCTGACTACGAACGAGATTGAGGAGAACCCTAAAATGCACAAATTTCGTACGGCATATTTTTGATTGTATCAAGATCCTCAGAAGGTCTTCTATACGAACAGGAAGATAGTCAACTGCAAACCAGTTCTGGTATAAAATTAAAAACGCTTCCCAAGTCGATAATCTCTGGTAGAGGATGTAAACGGTGACACTCCAATACTTTATCGACTTTAATTATTATTGCTTGCTGATATTGGGGAAGTTCGGAACGGGTTTATCTTCTGTATTTCCTTTTTCGATAATGAGTATTGCTTTGTCGATATCTTGATCTGCAAAATAAGATAATGCATACTTGAGGACTCGGTAATCAGAATTGTAATTAGAGCTAAATAATTGAATTTTATAGACGTGTAGCATAAGGATTCACACACGCAATAGCAATTTTTTTGAATTATGAGTAAGTGACAGGACGATGGATTATGAAGAAATATGGGGAATCACGCAGGGAATTGAAGGAATCTTTTACATTGACATAGCAACAATTAGTCAAAATTTATAATTATTGTTTGATCAAGATGTATCAAATGCCTAGTCCTTGATGCTAGTTCCCTCAAAAGGGGTAGTGCAGCTACTCGCATTCGGAATTGAGATTAGCCCACGGTTGTTATGTTGTTACGATGTTTACTCACCTTATTGAACAAATATCGATATTTCAGATGTCGCAAAAGCATTTTGCATAATATAATAAGCATACACGGTGTTCCTTAATGATGTGCTAATATTTCAAGGTGGGATTTTTGAGTTCAAGAAGCGACAGTTTACACCAATTTAATTTACCCCCAGAGAAAACAAATACCAGTCGTTGAAAGCGTTAATTTACTTCAATTTCGTGTAATACCTAGTAGAAGTTTCGGTGAATTACTTGGAATTTGGGGATTTACTCGAACTATCTGGGAATCAGGGGAATTATCGGCGAATGGTGCATTACATGGAATTACGGGTAACTTTTCTGAAACTTGCATCTTTGAGGAATATTTCCCGCGATTGTACAGATTATTGGCAGCGGTTGAAGACCCATCGATCAGTCGGACAGCCCTCTTCTGTCTTCTGAACATCACCACCGAGCATGAATAACGTAGTCGGGGCGGCAGTATCCCAAACATGTGGACAGTACTCGAGGCTAGATCTTATCTGGGCCTTAAACAAATAGCCAATCTTTTTTCCAGCAGGTGCCGCGATTGACGAGGTGTATTCGTGTCAGATCTAGAAATAAATGGGTCTTTGGTAGAACTCGGTCATCCATCGAATCCGGATGAGAGTTAGGGCGCTTCTTGTTAGTCAATGTACTGTACTGTGTTATTTGAACATTAAACTGTGCCAGATTGTTGCCTGCTGAACCGGAGAGGAAGTCGCTGCTAGTCTTCTCTCCAGCTTACGAGGAGAGATCGGGTTTGTGCTCGGAATTCCTGCATGTAAAGTGCTGCCATCAGCAAAGCTGTGTATCTGATTGATCGTACGGGAGGGAAGGTCGCTGATATGTAAAAGAAACGATGTTGGAGCCAAGACCGATCCTGGGGAACATTGTGGAATGACGAGGAGAACCCGTCAGTCACGAGCATCGCTGGTGCCGGAAGTCATACTGTGTGACTCCATCAAGCCGAGATACTCCAGAAGCTCCTGATTTATGCACTTCTCCATCACCTTACTGATAACAGAAAGCAGAGCTTTAGGTCTGTAGTTGTAATGGTCGGTCTCATATTCTCCTTTGGGACGGGCTGGACATGAGTAAATTTCCAATTATCTGAGAAAGTATCGGGTTCGTAAGATAACTGAAAGTGGCGCCAAAGAACTGGAGCAAGCTCCACTGCACAGTTATTCAGTACAATAGCAAGAATCAGGTAAGGACCAGCAGCTTTGATGATGTCGAGCGACATGATGGTTTCCAATCTCCGATACAGTGGAACGAAAAGAAGGATTTGACAGTCCCGGATAGCCTGAAACTTCTTGTGGAGCTAACTGATAAGGAACATGACGTCGAGAAATCGAGAATTACAGTGAATTTAACTCCACCGCACTATAATAGCGTGCGTGAGCACATAGAGCGACGCGACATACCGATACCTTGCCAGGATGTTTCCCCTCGGTCCCTCACTTTATGTTTCACCCCATCCCGGATGTTAAGGACAATTATCTTTTTACATATGCGCATATTTTAAACGGAGGCATAATCGCCTTTACCAAGCAGCGATTACGTGGGGACCGAGGGTGGACTCGAACAGATTATTACCAGCGCAACAGGTTTGTTTGGCGGAAGGCAGGGGTACGTAGAGGATGTAACCTTTGTTGTTTATGTGTCTGGCGTCTGGGGTGGACTAGCAGTGTCGCAGGTCGTAGAATTTTTTGTATAGTAAGTAGCTTTGAAAGCGCATATAATGAAAGTAAGGCTTCGACCAGATTATTAGTAACGCAACAGGTTTGTTTGGCGGAAGGCAGGGGCTCTGGTAGTGGTGCAAAGAATGATCTTTGGTGTTTGTGTCCTGGGTCTGCGGTGAACTTCAGTACCGTAGGCTATGTATATAATTTCTCTGTAAATCTAGGCACGGTTTTTCAATCGCAGGCTAATAGCAATTTCACTGCTAACCGGATGTTAAACCTCAAGAAGCATTTTTCAATACTATGTTTACTCTAAATGGTAGTTAACCTTAAACACCCTATTGTAGTTAACCGTTGTATCGTAGGTGGTAGTGGTAGGCGGTCTCTGACTGTCGAACGTGGAGGTACCACCCGGCGGATCTCTAAGGCGACGCCACAATGCGTGTATGTTCCATGAATACGTGTTCGGTACCCTTGAGTGTTTAGGCTTCACACCTGGTTCAAGTATAAAAAAACCAAAGGGCCAGATATTGGTTAAATCGAAAGCTGTAGTTACATCGCAATGTCTAATTTGTTTTGCTAGACAGGTGACATGAGTGGTCACGTATCACTCGAGACACGAATATCAAGCATCACAAAACGCACAGTAGGTACATAGAGTACATATGTAGAAGCGGCGTTGCAGCACCAACCATCACAAGTTAGTTAGCTAGAAATAGTTACCCAACTTGACACGTTTACTTCCGATTGAAAAATCGGTAAGAATTGGTTGAATACGAGCTGAGAACTGGATAAGAATTATAATAGTATCATCAGATCAGTTCACAAAATTTATTTTAGCAAATTAATAGACATGTCAGGGAAAGCATTCGGAATTCCTATTGTCAGTTAACAAAAATACCGTTTGCGCCGCATCATTATTGATGACTGATACAAAGAGAGCTTTTATTCTTCAGTAGCACTTGCTGGGCTCGCGCGAAACATTTGCACAAAGGCCTCAGTTGATCCCATAGGACATTTATGTCGCCTTAGAAACCACTATTCCACTATCATGCCGACGATGTTGCCCTTTGTGTCCACCCCGTGCGTGGCGATCGACTTAGTATCCCCCCACGATGCAATACTGGCGAATAGAAATGCAAGAGCTTGCATTGAAATTGTAAGAAATATCGCTTCCAAAAGCAACCATATATTGGAATCGCTATTACATCTCTTTGCTCATCTCTTTCTTCTGTTTTGCTGTCGTCGCACCGGTCAGGACAATTTGTCATGAGTTACGTAAGCAAGGCAAGGTGGAAGGTGGCACCGCACAGCATCGGTCGTATCTCGATTAGAGCACACCACAAAAAATGTTCATCTCCTCATCCCATTCGACTGTATAGTCCGAGATCCCACGGACGATGTGATATGTTGACGGATACAAATTCGAGGTAATTCAATAAGAGAATTACAAAATTATAAATCCTAAAAAATAGAGTTTGATAAACAGAGTTTGATTATATAAAATGATTATTAGCAGTGGCGTAGCTACATTGGGTGGCACCCGGTACGGAAGTTGTTGGTGTCACACCAAGTCAAAGGCATTTTATATGATTTATAAACGTTCTGCTGCATTTGATATTTATATTTAAAATATTGAACAGATAACAAAACACAATAAAAACTAAAGACAGAAAAAATACGTTTATCTTCCAATTAAAATCACTTCTTTCTGGTTTTGACAGCTGAAAACTCGGAAATAACTCCATCAAAATTTATATTTTGTATTGCCTCGTGTTCGATGGCTAATATTTATTTATTTATTTATTTATACATTATTGCCCAACAGAACTATTCCAATTAAAGGACAATATCATGGTAACTTTACTTATAATTCATACATGTAATGTATACCTAAAACTAATTTAAAAAAATAGAACTAGCTATTATAATAGTACCTGAAATTCGACACGATCTTACTGATACAATCAAAATTAATGTCAGAACTGTCTGCTATGGAATTATAATTGTTGCATATAGAATGTAGCGGAGAATAAAATAATACATTTGTACGGGAGGTACTGCAGTAGAAAGTTAGAGTTCTTCTCGTATTTAACCGAGGAATATAGAAATTTAACCTCTGGAGAAGTTCTGGTGCATCCACTCTGTCGTGCAAAAGCTTATGAAGGAATGATAGGCCAGCAGTGGAACGTCTTAACTGTAGAGACTCTAGTTCAAAACGACGCAGCAGAACAAATTGAGAGACCCCCCTTTCTGGATATGTGCCATCGATTTTATAAACACAGAATTTAAGAAATTTCCTCTGCACATTTTCTAAGATGCTTATATAATACGCATAGAAAGGGTTCCATATCAAACAGGCATACTCAAGTTTTGGTCGCACCAGTGAAATAAAAAGAGCTTTTAGTGCCGCTTCGTTGGAAAAAGATCGGCAGTTGCGCATTATGAAACCCAGAATCCGTGTCGCTTCGGAAGTGACGCGTGCTATATGGACAGAAAAGTCCAATCTACAGGAAAATGTTACACCAAGATCTTTAGTCTCTGTTGTTCTCTCCAAAACCGCATTATTTATGGAGTAATCAAACATAATCGGGTTCATTTTACGACAATATGAACATACTTTACATTTGGAAATATTTAAGAAGAGAATATTATTGTCGCACCACTGTCTGATGCTATGCAGATCGTCCTGAAGGGAAATACAGCTCTCCAAATTTGTAATTTTGGTGTAGATTTTCAGATCATCAGCAAATAGTAGACATTCACACTTTAGTGAAGCGACTAGGCTATTTATGAAGAATAAAAACAGCAAGGGACCTAGGTTTGAACCTTGCGGTACTCCAGAGGGAACAGTATAATTTGCTGAAGAATAACCATTATAGTAAACATATTGCGTCCTATTAGAAAGATATGAGCTTAAAAGACCGACTAACGAGTCACTAAGGCCGAAATAATGAAGGCTATCCACAAGAAGATGATGGTTTAATTTATCGAAAGCCTTGCTGAAATCCATGTAAATAACATCGACTTGTTGTTTCTTGTCTAACGATTCTGCTATATACTGCGTAATTGTCATTAAATTTGACGTAGTGGATCTACCTTTGATGAAACCATGTTGTGATGGAGTAATTAGGCTTTTAACGTTCACGAAGATAAAAGAGTAAATGGCCATTTCAAAAGCCTTTGCAAAGTTGTTCAAAATGCTTATAGCTCTATAGTTGAGTACATCAGATTTATCACCATCTTTCAGGACCGGACACACCTTAGCTATCTTCCAAACATCAGGAAAAATTCCACTCTTTAATATAGCATTGAAAATTATCAGCATCGGCTTGACGAAAACATGAGCACAATCTTTAATAATAAAACTAGGTATTTGATCACTACCAGACGTAAGTTTATTTTGAAGCTTAGAGAGAGATTTCAGTACATCAGCTTCCGTTAATTCCTCTAGATAAATACATGATGTTGAAGTGACACTAACTAAAGAAGAGGGAATATTTCGAGGAGTAACATACACACTCTTAAAATAGTCGGCAAATGCATCAATAACACCTTGTGGAGTACTGAATACGTTGCCGTTGAACTGGACTTGGCCTGGTATTCTGCTACAGTCTCTCTTATTCCGAATGTATGACCAGAACTTCTTCGGGTCGTTGATTATACTATCCTCAACCGACGACAAGTACTCACTGTAAGCAACTCTAACTCGCCCCTTTATGATTCTGCGCAATCTAGAAAATTCATTGTAATGGTAAACATTGCGTGTTCTCTTATATTTTCTGTAGTAATAATCCTTCAAATTTATGTTACTTATAATTTCTCCAGTATACCAAGGAGGATACCTGAATTTGCAGGTGTTGGTATATTTAGGAACATAAATATCAAATATTGAAAAAATTTTAACATAAAATGTATCGCATAGTTCATTAACATCAGTAATTTTACGTAAAAAGGACCAGTCAATATAACTCAAAGCATTATATAAGCCAACATAGGACGCCTTCTTGAAGTTATACATCAATGATGTAGGTTCAGTATTTGGGGACAAGTTAGACCTACTAGACAGCTGTATGGTAAATAGGATACTTAAAGGTGGATGGTGAGGATCTACTTGATTTACAATAGAAATAGCTTCCCGTGAAATAATACATGGTACACTTTCAGTGCTTATGACTAAATCCAGCAATCGCCCCAGCGCATTTAATATCAGGTTAGATTGGATGGTGTTGGTAAGATCTAAAAAATTTGATAGCGTTGTATAACGAAAATCTGCATGG